AGATGTAGGTATGTTTAGTGGTGGTGATAATGATTGGTAATAATTTATGTTCTATTTTATCTGTTATTTATGCTGTGTTTGAAGCAGCCTAGAGTGGTCCTAGGACCAGATAGGCGGGGTATAAAATAAATAAATAAAATAAAATAAAATAAAATAAAATAAAATAAATAAATAAATAAATAAATAAATAAATAAATAAATAAATAAATAAATAAATAAATAAATAAATAAAAAAAATAAGGCTCAACAAAGGCTTGTGAATCCGATACCTTGGTGGTTCACAAACTTGGGTGACCCAGGTGTACTTGGACTGCATTTCCCAGAAGCCTTCACCACCAGCTGTGCTAGCAAGGGTTTCTGGGAGTTGCTCCCCAAGAATACTGAGTTACTCAAGATTGGGAACCACTGATGTGTAGATCAACCAAGAGAGGTAAGACATGTTTGAGCAAGACAAACTGGCCCTGTTTCAGGGAGAAGGAATTTCCTAATTTGGGGGGGTTGTTTCTTTACTTTTGGGGACGTTTGAGGATACACTGCAATCTTTTGATATGGGAATTCAAGTGTTTGAATGGTAAGGGTTTAAGAAATGTAAAAATAAAATATAAAATAAAATAAAATCTCCAAATAATTTGAAAAGAACCTGTGGATTTTTAGAGGACATGGAGTGTTCAGCTGGTTATTGATATGAAAAGTAAACTACAGATAGAAGAAGAGGAGACAAATGGCCTGCTCGTTCCTTAACTGCTTTTTCCTGGGAATATAGGGTTGAGGAAAGGGGTGGGGTTAACATCTTGTCCCCAATACAACCATCAACATAGCACAGTGGTTCCCAGCCTTGAGATCCCAGTTGTTCTTGGACTATAACTCCCAGAAGCCTTCACCACTTGCTGTGCTGGCCAGGATTCCTGGGAGCTGCAGTCTAAAAATACTGGGTTGCTCAAGGTTGGGAACCAGTGCTAGAAAGGGATGTCTCGGGAGAAAAAGAATAAGACTTCTAGCTCAATGTCCAAAATGCCTCCTTACTTCTCTCTTGTTGTAAAGCCAGTCTGCAGCTAGACAGATCTCATGTTGCAGGATCGCCATCATTATTCTAGGACACCCTGCCTATGACGGGATCCTGTATCACAAGTTTACCATTGTTGTATACTTGATATCTTTTAGTAGTATCTACTGCCTTAGTCAAGCGACATGGTGGCGCTGCGGGCTAAACCGCAGAAGCCTGTCCTGCAGGGTCAGAAGACCAAGCAGTCATAAGATCGAATCCACATGACGGAGTGAGCGCCCGTCGCTTGTCCCAGCTCCCGCCAACCTAGCAGTTCGAAAGCATGCAAATGCAAGTAGATAAATAGGGACCACCTCGGTGGGAAGGTAACAGCGTTCCATGTCTAAGTCGCACTGGCCATGTGACCACGGAAGATTGTCTTTGGACAAAAACGCTGGCTCTATGGCTTGGAAACGGGGATGAACACCGCCCCCTAGAGTCGAACACGACTGGACAAAAATTGTCAAGGGGAACCTTTACCTTTACCTTTTTACTGCCTTAGTCACACTCTGTGCCTTTTTAGAGGTAGTACAGAGATATACATGATAAGGCTGTAATTTTTATGTTAGTTCAGAAAGACTGAGGACCATTATGTTAAGAGTTATTTCTAGACTTTATTAAATCAGTATTTCATACTGAAACTGCCAATGGTTTGTCAGTCATTTGGGGAATTTTGTATTCACTGCACGGAGGTGTACTTAACAGACAGAATTTCAGCAGAATAAAGTCTGCATATCCTCCTTGTACAGTATTTCCAGACAGTAAAAGGACCAAAGGCTTTGGCTGTAATCTATACACCAGAGATGGGCAGTTTCTGGATTACAACTTCAGTCTGCTTTAGCCAGCATAGTTCATAGTGGGATATAATAGGAGTTACAGTCCAGTAATGTCTGATGGGTCACCCCTCCCATACATAGCTTATAATGGTCCGTCAATGGTCATTCAGAGTTCAGCCCTCGTGCTAGTTTTGTTGTTGTTGCTGCTGCTGTTTTATGTAAATCCATAATACTTCCTCAAGTTTCACCACCATTTTAAAAAACTAGTTTTCATGCAGAATAGTACAAATAACACTTTAACTAGTAAAGGATGTGGGAAGCACAAAAGCAGTAAATATATATACAAAATAAATTACATTATTTGACAGATTTGTACTCCATTTCTTTGTTAAAGTTCTCAAGGCAGGATAAAACAATGAACTCACACCCTAAAGCCACTAGATAAAAGCTGAAAAGAGAAATCTGGAAATAGCACCTTAAATTTACAACATGGAACAGGGGATTAAAAATGTCAGCAATTCATAAGTTCTTCGGCAGTCAGCCTTCTTTATGTTCTAGCGCTCACTTCCTTACATCGCTACTGGAAAAACCATAGCTTTGTCGGCAAGGTGATGTCTCTGCTTTTTAAGATGCTGTCTAGGTTTGTCATCGCTTTCCTCCCAAGAAGCAGGCGTCTTTTAATTTCAGGGCTGCTGTCACCATCTGCAGTGATCATGGAGCCCAAGAAAATAAAATCTGCCACTGCCTCCATATCTTCCCCTTCTATTTGCCAGGAGATTATTGTACCACTGGCCATGATTTTAGGGTTTTTTTGATGTTGACCTTTAGACCATTTTTGGCATTCTCCTCTTTCACCCTCATTAAGAGGTTCTTTGATTCCTCCTCACTTTCTGCCATCAGAGTGGTATCGTCTGCATATCTGAGGTTATTGATATTTCTTCCAGCAATCTTAATTCTGGATGGGATTCATCCAGTACAGCCCTTCGCATGATCTATTTTGCATATGAGTTAAATAAGCAGGGGGACAATATACAGCCTTGTCACACTCCTTTCCCAATTTTGAACCAATCAGTTGTTCCATATCCAGTTCCAACTGTTGCTTCCTGGCCCACATATAGATTTTTCAAGAAATAGATAAGGTGGTCAGGCACTCCCATTTCTTTAAGAATTTGCCATAGTTTGCTGTGGTCCACACAAAGGCTTTTGCATAGTCAATGAAGCAGAAGTAGATGTTTTTCTGGAACTCTCTGGCTTTCTCCATAATCCAGCGCATGTTAGCAATTTGGTCTCTAATTCCTCTGCCCCTTCGAAATCCGGCTTGTACTTCTGGCAGTTCTCTGTCCACATACTGCTGAAGCCTACCTTGTAGGATTTTGAGCATAACCTTGCTAGCATGTGAAATGAGTGAAATTGTACGGTAGTTGGAGCATTCTTTGGCACTGCCTTTCTTTGGGACTGGGATGTAGAATGATCTTTTCCAATCCTCTGGCCACTGCTGAGTTTTCCAGACTCGCTGGCGTATTGACTGTAGCACCTTAACAGCATCATCTTTTAAGATTTTAAATAGTTCCACTGGAATTCCATCACCTCCACTGGGCTTTTTGTTAGCCATGCTTTCTAAGGCCCACTTGACTTTACTCTCCAGGATGTCTGGCTCATGTTAGTCATATGTTAGTCACTACTAAATTAAATCACATAGATTTTTATCAGTTTATTCTTGGTAAGGCTTGTTACATGTTACATACAGCACTGATGTTACCTGTCTGTCATGGGTTTGGAGGGAAAGTTCCATCCTATGGGGAGTGGAAGGCGGGACATCAGGAGGAGGGGCTGTACTGTATAAATACGTGATGCCTGTGTGGTGAGAAGACACACACTGGGAGACACTGAGAGACACTGGGTTGTGACGAAGCAGCAGCTGGGAAGAAGAAGCTGTTGTGGGAGTCTGTGTGTCAGACAGGGTACTTCTGTGTGTCAGAGTACCAACCTGATAGGTTCAGGTGTCTGTTGGTTAGCCAGAACTGATAGGTTCAGGGTCTGTGCTTCAAGTTAAGGGTTCTGGGTGAACCAAACTGTATGCTTGTATGAGTGAGAATAAGCCACGTTACTTTATTTTATTCACCTGATTGTTTTATTTTCCCTGTGTGTATTTAAAATAAACCTTATTCTTTTTATTGTTGAAAAATCCATCCCTGGTCTGTGTGACTTCTTACAGGGAATGGTTGGTGGCAGCTTAGTGTAACTGTGTGACATATCCCAGTAGGTCTGGGTTTGTCACAAGGCTAAGGTCAGTTTCAGTACAATGTATATACCTGTGTGGAGTTTCAAAGTAAACAGTTACATTAAAGTGTTACTGGTAACACTAAATAATAATAAACCAAAAAATTATTTGCAACCATATTTTTCATATTTTCTATTAGCTATTTTTATAGAGAGTTATTAGATATTCAGGTTTCCTTTGTTTGATCTTTTAATTTGATTATTATTGTAGTTTTATTTTATTTCACGTTTTAATTTCATGTCTATGCAGTAATACCGTAAGCCACCCAGAGCAGTTGTCTGCCCACTAGACCGGTGGAGTATAAATGTAAATAAATATAAATAAATAAATTACTTGCGCGTAATTCCCATTACAGTTATAATGTATTGACTGAAATCGTGTTGAGCAGCTACGTTTGCTTAACTTGACAGTATGCACGCCAATAGCTATACTTGCACCCAGGCACAAGTACTATCCTCAGAGCACTTCTACAGGTGCAGACAAATAGGATTTCAACCACATCTAACACAGGCCCACGACTTGTAGCCTTCTGATTTTTTAACATGTAAATAGACTCGACTGATTCAATTCCTTTTGAACAATAAGAAAGTGTTAATTTTTAAAATGATTACTATAATGGTAACTATCTACATTTGGGACCTTTGAGATGTAATTGTAACTAATTACTTTTTACCACACTCTGCAGCACTAGAGTACCAATACAAGTCTGTTTTGAAAAAAGGAGATTCAGAAAGCAGCAAAAGTGGCCCATTTTCTTTGAAGACCTGTTATTTAGGAACTTTCCCCCTACTAGCCTCCTAGTGTTGCAGCTTCATAAAAAATTCCCTTCTTTAACTATATAAAGCTTTGGGAAGATAAGAGTTTATTGTCCTATGGTCTCATTGCATCTCTTCCTCTGCAGGAGCCAGACACCTTGGTAACCATCAACAGGGGTGCCCTGATTGGCCTCCTGGTCGTGGCAGTGGCTGTTGCCATGGTGATAATCATCAGCCTCCTGATGGTTCGCAGGAAGCCGTACGGGACCATCAGCCACGGTATTGTTGAGGTACGGTCGGGACGGAGTTAGAAAGACCAACGGAACCCTTGGAGCTTGGACTCTGAGAATAACGTGGGTGGAAGGGGTTGTTATTATAAAAACTTCATTTGCTTGACTTAGATCTGAGACAGGGATCTGCCAGCTTCCTTCCCTCTCGGTTTTCTTCAAACCATAATTCCTCCCACTTATTTTTACTTGCTGATATAGACCAGTGGTAGGAGCAGGAGCAGTCGGAGACGAGGAAGGTCCTGCTTTCACCCTCACCCTGACACGGCACCGAGCAATGCAGGAGAAGCAGCACCTCTGGACTTCCCATCTTCCTGAGGGATATTGCCATAGCAGTAGCCCTCAAGAAGGAGGCGCTGCGCTCCAAGGACGGCTGCATCTTTTCTCCAGACATATTGTCCTGGATGTTCTGATAGAGTGGATGTTATCTTGGATTGTCCTGTGCTCTGTGAGGCTGATGAGTGAAATAAATGAAAACATCCATTGGGCCTGAAATTCATTGCCCCTCTTCTCTGAAGAGAGAAAATTAATTTCTTCCTTTAGGTATTTATTTAAAGAACCAAGATTAAGTCTGTGAAAGGCAAATTTTAAGGGTGTGAAACCGGGAGACACTCCTCAAATTCTCAAAATTCTCAAAAGAGCCTCGTGGCGCAGTAGTTAAACTGCTGTACTGCAGCTAAAACTGTGCTCATGATCTGGGGTTCAATCCCAGGTAGCCGGCTCAAGGTTTACTCAGCCTTCTATCCTTCCGAGGTCGGTAAAATGAGTACCCAGCTTGTGGGGGGAGGCAATGTGTAGCCTGCATAGTTAACTTGTAAACCGCCCAGAGAGTGCTTGAAGCGCTATGGGACGGTATACAAGCAGCACACTTTGCTTTGCTTTACTTAAATACTTATGTGGGTTTATTATTAGTTCTGTTGTGAAATATGTTTGTCAGGTTTATGTATTTGCTCCCAAATTTTGGTTAGAGAAATTAGATGCAAGCTAATTTATGGAGCTTTTTAAAGATCTCCTTCCAGTGCCATGCCAGGAATGGCCAGGAAATTTAAGGTGAATGACCTTGGCTCTTATTCTGAGGGATGAATTGAAGAACATTCAGAAAGTCTAAGGCTTGATAAAATCTAGGGTGGTTGTTGGGAGTTTAATAACTTTTGGCGATACATTGAGCAATCCCTTGTGTGATTATAGGGTTTATTCTTGGTTGAAGATTCCTATGACCCAAAATCAGATTATTCCAACAAAGCCTATAAAGTTGTTTTATAAGCTGTCTTAAAATTGTATTAAGGACATGGGTGCCTCCATCTTTAGATTTTAGTTGTGGCAGAGGAGGGAAAGATATCTTGGGTTAGTAGATTCTAAAAGTAGAATTTGTAAATCTAAGCCCTATTCAGGCATTACTGATGCTGGAGAATTGAACATGTTGGAACAATGTGTTCTGGCCCTACCCCCTTTGTTGTTGTTATTGTTGTTGTTGCTTAGGTCACACAAATCCCAGTGAGTCTGAAAAGAGGTATTGTTCATTTGGAAACTCTCCATCTGGCTTCCCATGTGGAAATCCAGTGCAAGGGGGAAAAATCTGTTCAAGACTCTTTTGGTAACCATCCCATCCAAGTGTGTTCCAGGGTCTTCCAGCTTTTTACGGTCAGGTCATACAATTTCTGCCAGAGGAACATTTTTAGGTCACACAAATACCAGTGAGTCTGAAAAGAGGTATTGTTCATTTGGAAACTCTCCATCTGGCTTCCCATGTGGAAATCCAGTGCAAGGGGGAAAAATCTGTTCAAGACTCTTTTGGTAACCATCCCATCCAAGTGTGTTCCAGGGTCTTCCAGCTTTTTACGGTCAGGTCATACAATTTCTGCCAGAGGAACATTTTAAAAAAAAAAGTTTTTCTTAACCAGTAGGGGCTACAGCCTACTAGTAGCAATCTAAGTGATAGTGAAGAGGGCTCTGGGCAAGAGGGCCCCTTCTTTGTGTACTCAATTCTCCTACACTGGCAATGTCTGAATAGGACTGTAGTCTCTCCTTTTTTTTCTGCCTCTGCCTTTCAGGTGTAAGAGTTTTTGTCTGTCCGATTGGGAATTCTGTATTGACAACAGAGTTAATAGTGACTGGTGTTGGTTTTGGGAGTGGGTCAAGGCCATATAGGGTGGTAATTATTCTTGGTTTTTCATCAGGATTGTAGACTATTTGGAACAGAAAACAGAGACATGGAATATATTCTTACCTCATTTATCGTCAGTAGATGGCAGTAACAGGATCTTTCTTCTTAGGCCAAGCATGGGGACCCGGTGGCGCTCCACATGTTGACAATCTGTTACTCCCATCCTCTCTCACATTAGGAAGATGGGCTGGTGTTGATGGTGTCTTAAGTTCAGCAGCATCTGACGGGCCACAGGTTTTGCCGCCTTCTCTTAGGCAGAGCTCAGAAAGTCATTTATTGGACTGTACCTGCCTGGGAATTCTGAGAGTTATAGTCCAAAATCACAAATGTGCTCCCCTTTATTGATCTATAGTCCTCATGCTTCCTATGTCTCGAACTACAACTCCCCAAGTCCCTACTTATTTAGGGATTCTGGGAACTGGAATCCAAAGCGGTAACTTTTCCAAGCTGCGGTCTTGGGCCTTGTTTTGCTGTTAAACCCAAGAAGGAGTAAGAAGTGTTCTGTTTTTTGTTTTTTGTTTTTTAAACATTTCCTCTTTCCTGCCAACAACACTGCAGTGTTTAACCCTCTTTCTCTTTTTCTCTCCCCATGGCAGGTGGACCCCATGGTTAGCCCTGAGGAACGACAGCTGAGCAAAATGCAAAACCATGGATATGAGAATCCTACCTACAAATTCTTTGAAGAGATGAATTGAGTTTCCTCGAGGAAGGGGTTGTGGGAGGGAGGGGTTGTCACTGGGGCTGTGGGCATTACCATGTGGGTGGGAGGGAGTGGTATCTACAGGGGGAGAGGGGTAGGTTCCACACACCTTCCACACAGAGCCCCTCTTTCTCTTTCTCTGCCCTGGGCTGAGCCTTGCTCTCACTCCACACCCTCTCCCTACACGTTTTTGTTCTTCCTCTTGCCATAATCTTCCTCACAACACATCCATTTGGGCATTTACAGCTTCCCGTCCTTGGCCCACCCACTTGCCATTCGCTCCTCCACTTTTGCAATGACCCTCAATTAGTCATCACTTCTAGGGGCTCCTCACCTACCCACCCACCCAGGCTGTTGTTCATAGTTGCCCTGCCTCTGAGAATGTGAGCTATCGTCATCTGATAACCTCCACAATGCACCATTCCCCAGATTGCTAGTTGTATCTGCAGGATGGTCTGGGGGAGGGCGGGCAACGACCACGTGCACACATTAAACTCTTGTGGGTGCACCTCACTAATCCATGTCCCATTGCATAGGGCTACCCCATGTGCATCCGCCTCAATTGCACAGGTCCAGATTCATTTTGAAGCTGCAGCCCCTACACCTGTGTACATCACCTCAGAACCCTGGATGGGCACAGAAGACTGCATTCCACAGAGCTGCAGCCTCCGACCATATTCCATCCCTTTGCAACTCCATTTTGCAAGGGTTTCTTTCTCGACATGGGGGAAAGCCTTTGGCTACTGTTGTGAGGCAGGAGTGCCCACAGGCCCAACGCTAACCCTAACCTGCCTCCAGTGTAGGAATCAAATGCCACCCTACACTTGCTTGCCTTTTCCATCGCCACGTGTACGATGCTTCCTTTTGAACTCCTTACTAGTTCCACTTAATTTATTGGAAAGCCAGCTGAAGAGGGTTGACCTCTTTAGAGGGTCTGCTTCCTATGGTCCAGTTAACTTCCATCATCAGCACCTTACTTACGAGTTTGGAGAGGGGAGACCCAAGGATACTAAGCTCCCCTCCCCACCCACCTATTCCTTTCTCTTGTCCTCCTTGAAAGATGCAAGGGATCGGGGACAGAATTGCTGAAACAGAGTAAGAGGGCTGGTCTTGGTCCGTCCAAGATGTTCCAAGCCTGGGAAGTCAGTTCAACAATGGGGCGGGGGTGTGGGGCAGGGGGAGTTTCCATTATAGGGCTAGGCTGGTAGGCATAGGCCAGTTCTGTTTTGTTTTGTTTTTCTCTCTCACTTGTGGTGGGATGTTTTCTTTCGGGTAAATTCTTCCTTATGAGGCGCTGCTATTTGATTCAATCGCCTTCCAAAGCAATGCCTTTTCTAGAATGAACCATCCCAGCCTCTGAAATGGAGGGGAATCTTGGGCCACTTCGGTGATCGTCTCTTGCCATTGTGTCTGCCCAGATGCACGGCCATTTTTAGCCACTACTTGAGGGTGGGAGATACAGGCCTGGTTCTGCCAGTGGACTGTACCACTTGACTTGCTTTCCTGCTGGTGCAGTTGGGTGACAGAAGAAGAGAAATACCACGTTGTTGCAATATATTAATAACAGGAGTGCTGAGACAGAGTAGGAAAAAAAATTCCACGGGGTCAATTTTGCTTTCATTTTGGTTGGTCTTCCCTCAAGACATAAGTCCATTTGGAAGAGCACTGGGGTTTTTAAAATGCAAGGTAGCCACCTAGCCCAGTGCTCGTGGCCTTTGGGATCCTGTGAGGAGAGAGAGAGATGTTCAGAAAGTTTCTTGTGCCCCAAATACCCTCTGCTCTGTTTGTGCCGAGTCATTTCCTGCCTTTCCTTGACCCAATTTGTTTCAGTTCATGTTCCTTTTTAAGCTGACACTCTCGAAAATAAGATGTGAATGTCAAGAGACAAACCAGGAGATGGGTTTCAATTGCCAGCCCTCCCACTAAACTAATAAAATATTGTCACTTCTCTAACCCCAGTGCTGGGCGTGGACTCTTAAATGGATGGGAGTGTGGGTAGGGGGAAATTGGTATAAGGATGGGAAGGAAGGAAATGGTAGGTGTGAGATTGGTCTCCACTTCTTGCTGCAAAAAAAAGGGATTGCACAGAAAAGGTTGAGGGAGAATCGTGAAAGAAAGCTGGACATGTTCTCATACATAGTTCAGCTTGCTTCTGCATGACAACCAATGTTTGGTCACTCTGCATTGTCATTGATTTAAAATATTTTTACTCCACCTTTCTCCTTAAAAGGTGGCTTATATCATTAAAAGACAATATTTAAAGGTAAAAACAGTAAGTATATAAATACTAAAAAGGGATCAAGCAAATACCACACTAAAAAAAACCGTAAACAAAAGCAACACGAAAAACACATTCAAACCAGTGAGGTACAACAATCCATTTAACAATCCCACTCAGGCAACCAGTCGCTGAAGGAAAGCTTGCCTGAAGAGAAAGGTCTTTCCCAAAGATGGGGCCAGCCTGACTTCTTGTGGGAGAGAGTTCCAGAGTCTGGGAGAAAACGTACCTCATGTATCAAAGAAGACTTACCTCATGTATCCCCAACCAGTGGGACCAGGCAAAAGGCCTCCCCTGATTACCTTAACACCCAAGCAGGGTTCTTAACTGTCCTTTTTTGCTTCAAGAACCCCAATTTACCGTATTTTTCGCTCCATAAGACGCACCTTTCCATAAGACGCACCAATTTTTTAGGAGAAGAAAACAGGAAAATATAATCTGTTTTCTTCGCTCCATAAGACGCAAAGACTTTCCACTCCCGTTTTGTGGGGGAAAAGTATGTCTTATGGTGCGAAAAATACGGTACATTTTGATTTACTGGTCAGAGCAAACTGATGGCCCACAAGGTACAAATGGGTGGTTCATGGAAGCAATAAACCGCCTGATCTGATTATCATGGCAGCTCATGCTGTGGAGGATATCCAAGCACACAATGGGAAAGTGGAGCAAAGCCAAAAGCTGTTTACCCTAGCAAGACTGTGGCTTGGGTGTTGTATTTGTCCTTATTGTCAGCAGTGTGATGGGAAGCCTTGCTGGGATAGCACATCACTTGAAGACCCTCTACTAGAGCGTTAAATCACCCATAATGGTGGGTGGAGGTATGTTCAACAGTAGGAGTCCCCAGACTTCAGCAAGGGCCTGGATTTCAGTATCTAAGGTTCCTTAACTGTTGGCTAGGCATGATGGGAGTTGTAGTCAAGGGACAGAAAGTTAGAAACTACTGGTGTAGAGTAGTTGTTCCCAATCCATGAATATGCTAAAGACTCAATTATTATGAATATTTTGCTCTCTTACCAGATTCCTCAAAACAAATCAGTGAAGGGGAGAGGAGGTGAATGGAAGTTATGATCTGTCTGTCCTATAAGATGGATGTGCAGGGCCTGAAGCAGCCTTTCAGATAAAGGAAACGGAATGTAAAGAATGTGCCCATACAGGGAATCAGCCCTTTAAAAAGATAGCTGCATTTTTTCTTCCTGGTGCAGATGGTTGCCTTTTCTCACAACTTTATGGCTATTATTTAGCAACAAGGACACGTACGGGAGCTCTCTATGGCCTTTATTACACGGCAAAGTAATTTTTAACATTATGTTCAGGCTCTGATAGTGTGCCACTTAATGTTTATGTGTGTCATCTATTGAACTACTAGAGAGTGACTAAGACTGACAGCAAAATCCACAAAAGCAGTGAAGTTTAATGTGGTACTGGTTTGCTCACCCCTTCTAGAGCAAGTACAACTCCTAGATAGCTCCATGGCTGAAGTATCTGACTGTAGATCCAAAGGTTGGGAGTTTGATTCCCTCCACTGTGCCTCCTTGACAGCGACTGGACTCAACAATCCACAGTGTCCCTTCCAGCTCTGCAATTCTATGATTATTATAAAGTGTAGCCCGTTGGGTGCGAGTACCTCTCTTCTGTGGCTAATGAAAGGGTATTTTTGCAATATATAAACTCAGGAAGACACATATTTCAAATTTCTACTGGGCTATCTGGTAATACTATCAGAGATAGTGATGAAATCTCTTTCCTAAGTAAGCTCCAGTTTGTCATGTGAACAAACAGAAGTGCAAGGAAAAGTCATATGTCAGCCAATGATGGGTCCAGATGGCGAAGGTACAGTGTGTCAGGATGAATCTACCAAATCTGAACTCTGTCCACTGCTTGGTAGAGCTATTTAATTGCTTAAGTGGTTGGTTATGATCTCATATAATATAGAAACACCTGAGAAATTAAAGACACAATCATGGTCTGTAAAATGCACAGTCCTGAGTCTTCAAGCTTTCTATTGCCAGAACATACAATATCTGCCAGTGGAACATTAAAAAAAAAGATTTTCTTAACTAGCAGGGGATTAGCACTAGGCTGAAAACAGCAGAATGAAATTTAGTAGGGATAAATGCAAAGTTCAAAACCTTGAGAAAAGAACCAAATGCACAGTTACAAGATGGGAGATACTCATGTCAGGAATACTACAAGTGAGAAGGATCTTGGAATTGTACGTCACAAGCTGAATAGGAGCCAACAGTGTGGTGTGGCTGCAAAAAAGGCAAACACTACTTTGTTTGCTTTAATGGAAGTATAGTCTCCAAATCACATGAAGTATTAGTTCCCCTCTATTTGGCACTGGTTAGGCCTCATCTTGAGTCCTGCGTCCAGTTCTGGACACCTCACTTTGGGACAAGTGCAGAGGAGGGCAACAAGGATGATCAGAGGACTGGAAACCAAGACCTGTGAGCAAAGACTGAAAGAACTGGGCATGTTTAGTTCGAGAAAAGAAGGCCAAGGGGAGATATGATAGTACTCTAAATACTTGAAAGATTCTCATACAGAGGGTCAGGATCTGTTTTCAATCATCCCATAGTGCGGGACATGTAATAGTGAACTCAAGTTACAGGACGTCAAATTTTGGTTGACTATCAGGAAAAACATCCTAACTGTTACAGCAGTATGATGATGGAACTGGTTACCTCAGGAGGTGGCGAGTGCTCCAGTGCTGTTGGCATTCAAGAGAAAGTTAGAAAATCATCTGTCAGATATAATTTGATTTAGATTCCTGCACTTATCAGGCGGGTTGGACTCAAATGTCCTTATAGGCCCCTTCCAACTCCATGAGTCTATGATCCTATACTGTCTGTTGTATTACTTGCCTGATGATCCATTCCTTAGCAGGAAAAACCACTTCACACAGAACTGAATGAAAAATGATCCTATTAGTCATATTGATCAACAAAATAAAAACTGGCCACTTTTTTTAAAAAAAAACCTGTCACATTGAAGTCACTGGGATGGAGGTAGGTTTTGCATACCTTGGACCAGTGAGTTTCTCTACCACGCTCACCAGGCAAAACAAGGACCCTTGCTCCCTCTGAGCAGGGGTAGGCACTGAGCAAAACTGGATATTTTAAATGCTGTATATTTTAAACAGATGCAAATTGTTTCCTGACAGACAACAGTAGGTGGACCCATAGCTCTGTGGTGAGAGCAGCAGGAGGGCAGAATGTTGGACTGGGACTCAAGAGACCTGGGTTCAAATCCTTCTTTGACCATAGAAACTCATCCATGTTGTGTGCCAGTGATAAACCAATCCTCAAACATCTCATATGACTCAAAAATTTGTTCAGTTCACAACTTAATGGTGCATAACAATTCCACCCTGTTCACAGCAATAACACTTAAGCACAACATTGCAGTTTCTTAATGTTTCTTGTTAAGCTGCAGAGGTATTAGAGGCAGCTGTGGAAAGTGGAAACAACAGCCGCAGTTTGGTGGCTCCCAAGTGTTGGGAAGTGATCATCAGTAGCAAGACGGTGGTGACAGTAAAGCAGAAGAAGTCACTGCTGCAGTTGAAGAGGAAGGACGAAGAGAGACAACAGGGGTTTTTTTAGGTTGGGAGTTGCTAATCCAGAGCCCTCCAGATGTGTTGAATTGCAACCTCCAACTAGCAGAGGGCAACAGGGGCTGCAGGTCCAACACATCTGGAGGGCAATAGGTTGGGAAAGGCTGGAAGCAACACAGTGTGTCTCGCATGCCAAGCTTACTTCCTTCTCACTAGGAAACAGATATGTCTTTCTCTTACAGCAAATCTGTGCTCCCACAAAAGGGAGAAAAGTGAGGAAGCCTTGTGACACCTTAAAGGCTAGCAAACGTATTGTTCCTTACGCTACATGGACAAGAACCTGCTTCAGAAGACGATTAAGGCACTAGAACATCTCCGTTGCTAGGAGCTTTGACACTGTCTAGTTCATGCGCAGAAACCCAGTGTGGTGTAGTGGACAGAATGACAGATGAGGACTCTGGAGACCAGGGTTCAAATCCCTGCTCCGCCATGGAAACTCACTGCGGTAGTGGAACAGGTAAAAACACTCCTTGCACATCTCACGCACCTTAAAAATCTTGTCAGGGTCACCAACATTCGAACATGAAAGCACGTAACAACAGTTCATATGCTTGTCGGTTTTCATTGGTGGCTGAATGTCAGGAAATGGTAAGGGGTTTTCTCGGGAGTGTGCCTGTGCATCCTGGACAAGCTGCAGAATCCCAAAGTGCCAATAAAAAAGTTAGGCATCCTTCAGTCTCGAAAGACTATGGTAACATGCTCTGTATGGAAGACTTGGAACAGCATCTCATGTGGCTGAGAAGGCCAATTCGAGAGTGACAGTCCCTTCCACACTGAAGACAAATACATGTCTTGAGTATTTTATACCTAGTTTATGACAGCTAGGTGGCTATCAGAATCAACTTGACAGCATGTACGTATGTCTTGAGTATTTTCTACCTCGTTTATGACAACTAGGAGGTTATCAGAATCAACTTGACAGCATGTACGTAAATGTTCTTATAGATTTGAAAAATAAAGCAAGCTAACCCCACATTTGGAAATGTAGGTCTAGAACACATCTGTTGCTTTAATAAGTCTCTGTAGGATTAGGATCCTCTTAAGCTGATTCAAATCAATGAGCTTGATCCAGACTTAGTTCTACTTAATATAAACATATGGAAATATTTAGGGTTTAAGTTAGTCATGATGGACTTCAAATCCCATTAAGTTTAACAAGTTGGTCCTAGCTCTTCATCCAACTCTTATCAACTGGCTGTCACTGAAAAACCAGTCATGATTATTCAATTATTACTTCCCCCACATGACAAACATGAGTTGTGTCCCTAAATTTGATTTACAGCTGATTTACAGATGGCTAATTCTTAACCAGTTTATAAAAAATAAGTATAGCCTTAAAAACAAAATGTCAAAACACCTCACAACAAAGATTAAAGAAAACAGCTGGATATCACCCATCTATTATCATTCAAATACATTTAAAAGTCTAGAGCCCTGCTTAGCAAGAGAGAGCAGCCACCTGAAAAGGTGGACAGGGCTCCTGTACCTTTAACAGCAGCGTAGGAGTTCTGCTGTGTATCAGGCTAGACTTGTCGAAATCAACTCTGCCATACAAGCCTTTTCCACCTCTTCGTGTGACCATCCTAGATTAGAAACAAACCCAGCAAACAAAGGTCATGACTCTCCAGGGTAGTAATCAGAGGGTTTCATTTTGGTAAGACGGTGGGGAAAATAAGAAAATGTTTATTTATTTATTTATTTATTAGTGGGGAAAATAAGAAAATGTTACATCCCAAAGCCATTTATCAGGTTGGTCAGCAATCTGAGACCTTCCAGTTGGCTAGCATGTTGGCTAGCTCTTCCCATCATTTCCTTTTCTTCCTACCTTGTTATGTGCCATCAAGACGGAACTGACTTACCCTAATAGAGTTTTCAAGGTAAGTGAAGTATTTAAGGAGTGCTTTTACCGGTTTCACCCCCCAGTGAGTTTCCACGGCAGAGCTGGCCAAACTAACCAAGGTCTCCTGAGTCCTCATGCATTGCTCCATCCACTACACTACACTCGGTACCCACCCTGACTGCCTTAGGGCCTTCTAAAGAATTCCTGTGGGGTAAATATCTCCCTTCACATTCCCATTAATCACCTCCACTCACTATGTTTTTTAGAGTACTACTAGCTTTTCTTTGTTAATCCGTTCCTAGACGAGGCATGGCTACCTTGACTGGAAGAAAAACAGGAAGTGGTTGTGTCTTCCTTGCTTGTCTTTCCAGCTTCCAATCCAGAAAATCCAGTCCAGTTTTCTGACCCCTTTATTCCCTCCATCCCCCACTTTGCCAGGGTAAATGTATAAAAGGGCAAGCCAGAGAGGGTTGTATACTGCAGAACAGGTTGCGGCTGGCTTGTGTGCGGTTCACAGGTAAGTTGGGGCTATGTGGTGGCTGCCTGTTAGGATGGTGAAAGAGGGAGTTCCTTTCTAAATGAAGCTATGTTGATCTGTTATGCTGAAACTGGCAAGAAAGGGCTCATGGCTGGCTTAGACAAAATGAGGCACCAGCGTCAAGGGGCAGATGTAGCCGGGGCAAGTAATGCGCTGCCATGGCTATTCCTTCTTACTCTCATGGCTGTCCCTCTCTGCTGAGGGCCAAAACATTGTGCGCCATGCAGCCCAGTTTTGCCCTCAAAACTAACTTGGTGAAGGATACTAAATCACTTGTGTCAACGTTGGTTTTTTGTAAAAATCAAATGGCTTAGCAAGTTCACTTGGTGTGGAAGAGAGCAGGATACCCTTGTATCCTCAATGAAATGGCTTGGGGGGCACTTACAGGATTCTGTGGGACTTTAAAGGCTGTATCATTTGTTTTGATGTACACTTTGGGAGAACCTCTTTCCATTGCACTTGTCCTGCTGGAGGCTGGAAGACGTCATAGTCATTCTGATTTTAGTTGCAGCTGATCTAAACTATAGTGTTATGCTTGGACAATTCGATGCTTCAAATGACGTGGCTACAGGTCCTTCTAGAAATCTCCAAGAGTGGCTTCCATGAAACTGATGTCATTTTCTTCCCATCCCATAAAGAAGCAGTTCTGTATATTTGCAGATCTGTCTGCTTTCAATTTTTGTTGGTTTCGCCTTTTACGTCTAATCTCCCATTAGCTCCTATCTTGTTGGATGACGAGACCAGAAAAGTCTGGTACTGTTGGGCTTGGTCATGGAAAGGCTGAAGGAAAACCACTGGATGGGTAGAGCAGGTTTTTTAAAGCACTGAACTCTCTCCAACTAGAACCAACTGAAAAACACTAGCTCAATAAAACCATGCCAGTTATTTATTTTGAATACTTATATACTGCCTCGAAGGATCTGGAGGCACTCAAAGCATCTTACAAAAGAGCCTTGGAATAGAACTGCACTATAAAAACTAGTACAGGGACATAAACTACATGATGTCCAGCCAGTTCATTGGAGAAGGAATTATATGGCTCTGGCTTCCTTCTCTCCCTCTTCTTCAGCATAATAGAAATTATTTTATATTATATTATTCTTATTTTCAGTTTAGGTCTTATTTTCAGGGAAACAGGGTGTCTGTCTTTCTGTCTGTCTGTCTATGTAGACAGACAGACACAATGGGATGACCTACATATAAGGGTACGAACTGACTTCTAAATTGCTGCAAGCTGCATAGTCCCAGGGGGTCACCGGAAGAAAATAATGGCAAAGTGCTTCTGAGTACCCTCTGCCTGGTGAAAAGGGTTGCCGTAAGTCAGAATTGACTTGACAGTACATGATTATTATTATATTGTTAAACTAAGCCAAGAGTTCTTCCTATGTTTAGGAGCCTTGTGGCGCAGTGGTTAAACTGCTGTACTGCAGCTAAAACTGTGCTCACGACCTGGGGTTCAAATCCCAGGTAGCCGGCTCAAGGTTGACTCAGCCTTCCATCCTTCCGAGGTCGGTAAAATGAGTACCCAGCTTGCTGTGGCGGCAATGTGTAGCCTGTATAATTAAAAATTGTAAACCGCCCGGAGAGTGCTTGTAGCGCTATGGGGCGGTATATAAGTCCAATAATTAAATATAAATAAATGTTTATTGGAAACTGCACTGAGATTTACCACTAAGACTCAAACGTCACCCTCTCCATCCTTAGCATTTAGATTAGTTCCATAATTAAACAAGTGTTCTGTTAAAATGGAAAATAAAACAATACTAAAAACATATTGAGCTGCATATTCTTCTCTTTGCTTTCTAATGGAACTAAATAAATGTTTATTGGAAACTGCACTGAGATTTACCACTAAGACTCAAACGTCACCCTCTCCATCCTTAGCATTTAGATTAGTTCCATGGCCAGCCATTAACAAAAGGCAGGGAGGGGCAATGAAGTGTTGGAGGGAAGAGCTACATATTCTTCTCTTTGCTTTCTAATGGAACCTCCTGCCCTCTGGTGCTATGAAGAACGGCTGATCTACCACCAGGTTAGATTCAACTACCAGCTCAGTTGGTTTATGTCTGAGGATTATGAGCAATGGCGTCACTTTGTCTCTAATCTGGTAAATAGGAAAGCCGAATAGCATTGCATACACCTGGGGGGGGCAGGAAAGTTTTAGGGGTAGGATCATACTTCCGCATTATTCGGGATCAGGCTGGATAGGTGGGGCTCGTCAGCCTTGGAAGGCAGCCCATCTAGGAGAAGGAAAACTCTGATTCCAAACCTCCACCGCCTTGTGGACATATCCACTGATGGAAAAGGCTTCAGGAGTTAACCTCGAGGCAAAATCTGGAGCTGGAGTCCCGGAGGCAGTTCGTGTTGTTCTGGCAACTCCTTCGACATAACTGGAACCAGTTGTATTGGCTCTTGCCTTTCCATTAGACTATTTCAGCGATGTGGAGAGGAGGGAATTTGCTGCTTGGGTAACAGCCTATCCTCCATATTATTTTACTCAGGCTTCGTGCTCTGGAGAGGACATTCCAGCTTCACATAGAGCATTGATGCAAAATCAGGGAGCTGGACAGGGGACAGATTGGGTTTGTCTTCAGTGTGGAAGGGATGGTCACTCTCGAATTGGCCTCCTCAGCCACACTAGATGCTGTTCCATGTCCTCCATACAGAGCACGTTACCATAGTCTCTCGAGATGAAGGATGCCTACACAAGTCACTTTGTCCTTAGCCTTAGATAGCAAAATGTCTTAGGCTGGCCCTTAGAGGTTAACTTTTTATTTTAAAGCAGGGACTATGGTGCTATGTGAAAACTCTTTTATACCCTAGGCACACCTGTCCACATTTATCCCAGAAAAAAGTGCTAAGGATCCGTGGATTGAGTCACAGCTTGAAAAGTTACTTGTTCGAATTATGACTCTCAGAACTCCACTACCTAAGAGAGTCTAGCAATTATTATTGGGAGGGGGAGTTAACTTTTCTAAGCTCTGTTGCATTGATGATCAAAATTCTACTCTGATGAGGATGTTTAAAATGAAATATGTAATTTTGATTTGGATGTCATGGGTCTACCTCTCTGAAACCATGATGGTGTTTGATGAAACTTGTGAGACCATATCCTGCAGAGAATGTGCTAGTCAAGTCCCACTGTCATATAGAAGACATGGGGGGGGCAGATGACTATATTGCACCCTGCTCTGCTATGAGGAAGTGTGGATGATGAGACTGTTAGTGTTGTTTTGAGCTTTTGAACCGGTTGCTTCCATTGTACTTCTATGAGTGGTTCAGGGAGCTCTGATCTTCCCAGGTGATGTTTGTTTCTATACCATGTAAAGTTTTCCCCTGCCGCTCACAAAGATTTAATGTTTTGCCCCTACGACCTTAGAGGACAACATGCTTGCAATCCAACAACATGTACACCCCTGGGTCCAAGCCTGGCTCCGCTAGTCAGAGATTCCCGATTCCTTCCTGGAAGATTCACTAATCCCTATGGCCTTCTCTTAAAACCTTCTTACGAAAGGATGCAGTTCTAGCAACTGTGGGGCTGGCCAGTGTTGCTGTTGGGCTCGTGACCCGCTTTTGGGCTTCGTACAGACATTGGGACGGTCACTATGGGAATAAAACACTGCTCTAGATGGGTCTTCAGTCTGATCTAGCAGACTTTGAACCTAGCAGCTCGGGTGTATCTTTGCTCCTCTCTTAGCTATGTTTATGGAGAACAACGCGGCCAAACAGCCCAAAAAACCTACAACAATCATAATTATAATTTAAATAAGGATACGGTACATCTCACCACAATGTGGAAGATGTTGACTAGGTAATCTGTGTGCCTTATCAGGTTGCTATCCTGGTACTAGGTTTTGATGGCTTTCTGGGACCCATTTGCTTTTCCGTATTTGTACTTTTTTTTATCTCTAAGTCAAAATTGGGCCCTTCAAACAGGCAAATGTCCTCTGCAATGCAAGTCACATAGTGTCTCCCTTCCCCCTCCTCCAATTTGTGTGTGTTTTCTTTCCTCTCTTTGAAAATCTTTAAGGTATGATATCTTGTTGCTATTTCTTTCGGTGTAGTAGTCTTCTTTCATTTCCTAGAAACTGGAGAGGTTGGTATAAAATACAAAAAATAAATCCACTGAACTCCTGAGAGGCCCCCTGTTCCACTGGATCACAAGCTGTAACTTATTATGCTCATAGACATAGACTTTTGGATAATATAGCAGTGCCAGGTTGATTTTTAATGTATTTTGATTTAAGAGGTATTTAATGATGGATTAAGAGCAAGGAGCTTTTCTAGAGTGTGAAATTAATTAATTGATTTCAGATCATCAAGACAATTCTTTTAGCAAACCTTTCTAGGGTTTCCTAGATACAGTGGTGCCTCGTTAGAGGATGATAATCCGTTCCACTGAAATTGCTGTTTAGTGCAATCATTGTCTAGCGAAAAGCATTTCTCCATTGGAATGCATTGAAACCTGTTTAATGCACTCCAATGGGGAAGAATCGTCG